TTAGTCTGAAGAGATACTCTATTTGTTTTATTTATCTGATGGGTCATTAAGTTTATTTGAAATTACTTTATGTTCAAACACCAAAGAACAAAGGAAACCAAGATTTGGCTACTGTCATATCTGGGCTCACAGTTTCCGGGCCAAAACAGTTCAGAGAAGAAGAGCAACTTATCTCCCTAAAACAATTCTCAATTACAGGAATGTGCAAAACACAAAAATCTGTATGTAAGATTTCCTAAAGAGAAAGTAAACCGTTGGAGTTACTTCTCTGTTACACGTGAAGACAAAGCAGGAATCCATCTATCTATCTATCTATACCTTTTCATATGAATGAAAAGCAGAAATATCTATGAATCAAATGATGTCTCTCACTTAAAGGGTTTTATTTACCCTTTAAAAGGGAAGGGTTTTATTTTATTAAGAAATGTTAGTTATATCTATAGATATGTCTATGACTATATGCAACATATATAAATAAGGGAAGTCATTTTTATTTTGTTCAGATCTTTTAGAAATACCTGTAACTATAACCATATACATACAAACACATACCCTGCACTATAACTTTTGGGATACCCTGCATATTTATGAATAAAAGAAATGTGCATATTCACATATATAAGCAGAAGTGCCTAACTGGCACTATTAATTAATGGGACATTCAATAATTTTTAAAAGTAAAATAAGAAATCATTTGAAAATCCTCATATTAGGGAGAAAATATTTTAACGTAAATTTTACTGGATAATTTTTAGATCTTTCTGCCTAGAAAAAGTATGCAGCTTCAATCAAAATTAAGATAACAAAATGAGAAATGTAACAAATTAAACAAAAGACAAAAATAAATCAAATATATGCAAGTTTGTTGAAATGAACTTCTATTTCTCATATTTCCTCCAAGATTGACCTTTAAGAATCAATATAATACAATAAATGTGAGTTTTTATCAAATACAAACACTTGCTCATTTTATGGAAAGATGGCTTTATGTAACAAAATACTTCTTAATAGACACTATAGTTTGTAGTACAAGCACTATAAAAATGTTTGACTTTTAAAAGTTTTAAATGCAATAAAAATAACAGACATGTCAGCACACTAATATTTAAATTTTAAAAAAATCAAACAATTAAATGATTTATTATAATATAATACACCATCTTGTGGTTACTTAGGAGGAATGCAGTTCATGTTCTCAAAAATTTCAATGTCCACACATTTCAATCACATTTCAACCTTTTTAACCTCACCTCATAAACACTTTTGAAGTCTTAGAGTGCTCTAAATTTTTATACAACTGGAAAATATAAAAATAATATATTTTTATTTCACCTACCATTTCACAATATATGAGCTATCAGATTCACCTGATTTGTTTCCACTTTTAATTTATAAATAATAGGCAATAATCAGCAGACCAATGAAAAAAGTGTTAATTATGAACACAGCTATAGCATTAATTCACAGTTTGAAATGAAACTGGGATGTGAGATTGCAATTTTTGAGCATGTATTGACTTCTGTTTCTAAATTTAAAAAATAAATACAAAACCATGACTTTGTTGCAGCTACAATTTGGAATGTTACTGATAAATAAGTATTGATAAGTTGAAAGTAAAGTAATTAGGTAGGTAGATATTAGATATAATTTAAGTTTTCTGAGGACTCAAGCTGAATATTATACATCTCTGTACATCCCAGTTATCCCGTATATATTAATCACTCAATAAATATTTGCTGTATGAATTAATGAAGGAATGAGCACATGTTTGCTGAATACCCATGAACATTTTAGTTGTATATGGAATGCAAGTGATATAAGTTAAATGCAATTTTTAATATTGTAAATGAGCTTTTTTTGTTAATTCAAGTTTCATGCATATTCTTTACAGAAGTCCAAGAGTTTTTTTATAGTGTGTTTTAATAAATCTAGTAAGTTGTAAACAAGCAGTCAAGTACAATATAATAAAATAATATTTTCTCAAAAAAAACAATAAATAATGAATGTCAAGAAACTAATGTATCATAATAAATAATGTGGTTGATAATTCTTCTATTAGGCTTTTGTTTGTTTTGCTTAGTGCTTTTTATCAATTGTGCTGTACACACTAATAGGGCTAGAAAAAGATAACTTCATTTTTCCAAAATAATGTTTTGTTTTGTTTTTACTTCAACTCTGTACCTGCACCTTTCTCAGCACCTCTCCCGATGCCTAGCTAGTATAGTTTAACATTTGTTAAGGGTTGTATAATGGGCTATATTTGTGAAATAATTTGTTTCCTTTTTAAGTTCCTCAATTCTTACTGATACCCTGTATATGTATATTAGGGGAGTTCCCCTATTTTTGAATGTTTTTTGTATTTGTTCTTACAATAACTTTGAGATTTTCCTTCCTCCTCTGCTTCCTAAAGGAAGATCTGAGAATGAATCATTTCCAGCTGGAGGTCAGTGTACTTTCCTCTAATCCCTACTGCTTCTGCTCAGGATGTCACAAAGAAATGTGCTGAAACAAAATATGTGGCAGGTTTTACCCTTTCAAACTAATTTCTACTATGCAGTCTATCCCTTCCAAAAACATGTTTACCCTCATATAAAAATAGATGTGATATGTATATTGCTTGTCGGGAAACCTTCAGTGAATTGAAAAAAAAAAAGAAACATTTTGAAAAGTTTCCTAACTTTACCTTTCCCCAAAATAATTAAATTAGGAATATTTTTTTTGCCAAATTAAAATGTTCTGGTGAAAGCAAAGCAAAGTTTTGTGTGACTGTATTATGTCAAAGTTTATTAATGGGGAAAAATCATACTGGTTATTTGGTATAGCAGAAAGGAGCAGGTTATTTAAATAGATTAAACATCCTCTTTTGATTTGTAGACTATACTAAGTGAAATTAGAGTTATACTTCTCATTTTTCAATTATTCTTATCATTGAAGAATATAAGTTACCTTTCAAAGGTATATAGATCATCTAACAAGGGTTATTAGCAAGAAACTAAACATAAGAGTTTTTTTAACTTAATTTATGATTTTAAATGTCCAACTACTTGACACATTTCTGTGTATATAATGTGGATTACAATACAAATCTTTAATGGAAAAAATGATATTGTTTTGGAAATTGAAGAATTACAGAAGTATACAGGGCCCTCCAAGGTCATATTACTCAACCACTTACCTCAAACATGAATCCTATTTTTTTTTAAAAAGGTATTTGTTTATGCTCTTAAGCATAAATGTTAGGTATTAACATTCAGGGATGCCCTTACTATAAAGGAAAAAAAAAGACTAATTTATCCTTAATGACAAGATTACTCAAATGGATGAGGTAAGAGATGTTTCCACCTTGTGCACATGGTGCTTAACATATTTTTTAAAAGGCATAGAGTTGAATTTAAAACAAAGTCCATTAAGGTAAAATCTATACCTAGGTATTATGGCTATAATTATACATCAATATAACCAGCTAATTAAGTCAAACCCATGAAAATAATTGGCTGAATTTTTCATTTTTCAATAGGTTGTTCTGGTGTCAATAGGTACCACAATATACATACATATATCTATTATAAAACTTATCAAAATTATGTTTATTTTAAAACCAAAGATATTGAGTTATTTAGATCATTAAAATTAAAATATGGTGAACCTCTATTAAAAAATATAGGCCCAGGGACAATAAGTAATTGTGATATTCATGAATTATTTAAAAGAAATGAAAATGCTTTTAGCAACAAATTAAAAAAAAGTCACTTGAAAGGTACAAAGGCTCCAAAAGGTTGACACGGTCAGTTGCCCTGCAGTAGTGAAGGGCAATAATTCAGATCCTACTTATCTACACATAATTCCATAAAGCTTTCCAAATATTAAAGGAACTTGTGACCTCACTCTGCCTCAATATTTGACAGCTAAGCCTTTTAAAAGCAATATTAAGCCAGCAGTATTACCAAAAAGAAGTTATTTATAGATAAAGACATGAATCAACATAAATCCTGAAGGGTTAAAATAGCTTTTTAAAAAAAAAAAGGTAATAATGTTTATTTCCTGAACAATTTCTTTCTTTATAAAAAAAATACCTTGCAATATCTGAAAAGGAACCAATTCTATATGTGGAAAGATCCCAAGAATTACTATTCATGTGTACATGAAGAAATATAGCACCATAAATTGAGGGACTGACTGAGGTCACAAACTTTTCAAGGATGCAAAGACAGTTGAAAAGATACATTTTTGTTCAATTGACTGAGGAAAGCTTACGTAAAATATATCATGTTTAATGTATTAAAGTTCAACAAATATTCATGTTTCAATGTTTTTCTTTAGCTTTTACAGGTACATATCCATGTATTAGTGCAAAACTCTATATCAGTTGTCAGTTCTCCAAGGAAATAAGGAACCTAGAAATGATTATATTAGCAAAGCAGAACAAAGAAATATCCATGTTTCAGAAATCTATGAAAGTTACAGAAGATTAAATCATAATCAGCAGTAGATCCACAGTGATAATATTGATTTTACCCTTTAGAAATGCAACCAAAGCAATTTTTCCAAATGAAAATATTGTAGGAATGCAATCTTTTTCACAGACATTTCTAAGTTTTCTGACTCTACATTGATAGTCAGTTTTGCATCTTAATAACAGATTGATTTGCAGAAGAGTAATTTGTTTCCCACATTACAGTTTCAAGTATCTTCCTCTTCCATTAAATTAACTGCAGTGAACTTCCAGCAGTAAAAAGCTCTCTTTTTTCAGGCTTGAATAAGAGGAGAAATAGTCACTTGTCCTGAAAGCTGGCTACAATTAAACATATTAAAAAGAAATTAAAAATTGCAAAAAGTGATGCCTCACATCCTTTGTTGTGAACCTTTGTCACATAAGTAATATTAGACAAGACTATGAACAGCCATGGGACTAGGCAAATTTTTTGGCTGGTGAAATCATGAAGCATGGATTCTTTAAAACCCACGACAGTGGGCTGAAGTGGTAAAAGAACAATATTTACCTTTTCCAGTTGAGCATTTTTTTTGGATTTGTATAGGAACTCTCCAACTGCCACAAAGACTGAAAGCACCAAGCCTGCTGCTAAAACAATGAAGATGCCACCAATATTCTGGACTCCCAGAGCACTGGCTTCTTTACTCTCTTCCTCTGGACAGCCATTACCACGCCACCATTTTTCTTTCATCATATGAAGCTTGCCTTCTTCTTGGAGTTGAAGAATTGCTATGGTGATCTTATCTCGATATGGAGAACCTACAACATAGGAGAGTGTGTTAAAAAAAATCCTATTAACTATTTATTACCCTTAGAATTTCATAAGGAAAGGTTATCTTGGGAGAGGCTTTTGACTTTATTCTACTTATTATTAACATTCTACTTATAATGTTACTACCTACCCAACTTTACAATTCCATGATCAGAAATTATGGACTTATTTTTGATTCTTCCTTTTTTTTTAGCTGCTATATCCAATTAGTGACCAAATCTCACCAATTTCACATCCATGATATCTCTTAAACATGTTTTTCTCCTCTATAGTTCCACTTTAATCCCCTTAGTATTAGCCCTTATGACTACCCAGATGAACTGTTAAAAATATCCTAACAGGCCTTTCTACTTCCCTCTAATTCATTCTATATACTGATGCCAGATTAATCTTCTTTATATATGCATGTATGTATCTGTATACATATATATCTTGTGGTGTCATTCCTCTGCTTATAAATTTTCAGTAGCTCCCTATTGCCTGCCAAGCAACATTCAATTGTTTTTGGCTGGCCTACAAACCCCCTGCAATATGCTAACATTTTGTTCAGACTTATCTCATGTTATACTACTCCATATTTTTTGCTTCAAGAAAAGAAAACTATTGCTGGCCTTGTGAACATGTTCTGTGATTTCTAGCTTCTATCTTGGTCACACTAATACTTACATCTACAAAGTTGTCCTTTCCCTACTTCTGATTTTTAAATCTTGCCCATGCTCTAAAATCCATCTCAAAAGTCACTCACTTTAGAAAACCTTTTTTCCCCTACTGATGGGTTGCAACCTATGACCTTGCATTTAAAACTGCAATTATATGATATCATATAGTATTATATGTTTACAGTTAGTGGCACATATGTTTTATCTCCCTACTAGATGGCAAAATCCGTAAGGGTAGCCATTTCCTTATTTAAATTTTATATCCTCACCAGCACCTAACATAATTCTCTACACAAAGTCAATGCTTAATTTGAATATTTGTCGAATGAATGGATGAACACTTCATGCTCAATTCCATTATATAGGGAAAGAGCCTTGATTTTAACTGAAGAAATAATTTCAAGTTCCATAAGTCAACCTAAAGTCTCCCGCAAAGAAAGAAACAGTGGAAATTCAGAACTTGAGTTTTCTGTTTATGATTCACAGAAACCAAGGTTAGCTATGAAGAAATCATCAGAGCTTTTATTTATTACTACATACTAAAGAGTAGAAGCAATTGAATGATAACAATGCATATCCATTATTATATGTGAACTGTTGAATGTCTTTAAATAATATAGACTATTACGTGCTTCTTTCTGTTACCCTGAACAAGTCATTTAAACCTGTTTGCATAAGTTTCCTCATCTGAAAAAGGAGCTAGAGAAGGAAATGGCAAACTTCTCCAGTATCTTTGCCAATAAAATCCTAAATGAGGTCACAAAGAGTTAGACATGACTGAAAATAACTCAACAACAACAACAATCACAAGCTTCTTTCATGTTATTCAAGGTTGTGGGAGCTCTCATGGCCTGCAGGAAAGTAAAACCTATTGTTTCAAACTATTTCCAACCAGTAATATCTTTACAGCGAACTGGTCATATGACTGAGTTCTTACCAGGAAGGAAATGTATTTTCTTCTTAAATTTTAATTTCATTTTTTGAGGGTGAAAGACACAGAGAGGTATAATGGAAAATAAACTGTATTTGGAATCAGAGCACCTGGATTCAGATCCAGATTCCACTACTTACTGTAGGTATGACTTTGAGTAAGTCATTTATCTGCTCTGGGGCTGTTTCCTTGTTAGGTTAGCCTAGATAGCTTCCAAGGTCCTTTCTGGTTCTTAATCTGTTTTCTTATGATTCTACAAATATTGAAAATTCAATGTGCTGACATGTGGCATGTAGTCACCAGAAGCAAATAAATACTATGGAATATCAGAAAAGTTTTCTCTCCAGTTGCCAAGAAGGCTGAAAAAAAAGTGGAAATAAAGTTGCATATTTCCTGCCCCATGTGGCTCATCTGTACTGCTTCAGGTGTATTTCTTTCCCCCTATTTTCTTCACAAGTCAGTGCCAGTCAGCAAGTATATTGAAGACATGGACAATTTTTTTAAATTGTACATATAAAACTGATGTAGAAAACATGACAGATTTATTAGTGGTACTGCTGAAAATCTTGCTCCTTTGTCCTAGCTGCAGTAAGACAAATTCAGATGTGAGTGTTTCCTCATCAAGAATGCACAACTCTGCATGAGGACCTCAGAAGAAACACAGGAGACCGGGAGCAACTGGGCAAGGTTAGAGGCCTTGAGGCTAACTAGCTCTCCCCTTTCTGAACCCCCAGCCAGAATACTCCTGTAATTTAATCCTTTATCTGCTCTGAAAAGGGCAAAGAATATTCTACTAAGAAAAGTCTATGCTGGCAGCAGCAACTGCTATTTCATAGGAGAAAAGAGGGTTTGTTGTGAACTGGAAGAGTGAAGAATTAGTGAGGGAAATAAATCTTTGAAAATTGTCTTCTTAAAATTTGTGTGTGTGCATATATAAACTTATCAATGTTGTCCTCCATTTTCAGAAGAGGGGAGGAGAGAAGGGAGGGAGAAAAATTTGGAACTCAAAATCTTGTAAAAATGAATGCTAAAAGTTTTCTTGACATTAGGGAAAAATACTATTGAATTTTTAAAGTGTGTTCGTGTCTGTGTGTGTGTGTGTGTGTGTGTGAGAGAGAGAGAGAGAGAGAGAGAGAGAGAGAGAGAGACAGAGACAGAGACAGAGACAGAGACAGAGAGAGAGATAGAGAAAGACAGGGACAGAGACAGGGACAGAGACAGAGACAGAGACAGAAACAGAGACCGAGACCACAACTGCATTTATTTGTTTAAGGGAGAAATACATGAAGGGAGAAAGGATATGACCAAATAATGTACTCTTACATGAGACCACACCACTGTGTGATTAATTTTCCTACAACACTACTTTGTACATGTTATCCTCCTGCTATATTATGACTTCCCATTGCCTACAGGAGAGTATTGAAGACCCTTCAGTTTTTGTTTTTTTTTAATGCATTAGACAATGGGGATTTAAATGCTGGTTCTATGACTATAATCCCTATACTAGACATGTTACTTAACCAACCTCTCCGGGCCTGTTTTCTCACCTGTGAAATGAAGGGGTTGAACTAGAAGGGCATATCAGCAAACTCCTTTTAAAAATACTAGAGTAGAATAAAGTAAGCTTATTTAACCCCTCTGAAGCTGTCTTCCTGTCTGACCAGATCAAAAGTGAACCTGTGCTGAATCACCTGTTAGTGTTGTTCTCCTGCCCAACAAATGCACCAACTCCTACAATATTCCCTAATGACACTTCCCGCAGGGGCAGGGGAGAATAGGAGTACAACTCCTTCAATATCCCCTAAACCTTTATGGGGGCCAATCAAGGCAGGTACATGCATTCCTCTATGCATTACCCAAATCCCAAAATGGGTTCCCCACTCACTGACCAGTGCCTACTTGCTTTATAGGGCAAAAGACAAAGAATGCATCTTGCCAACATCAAGCTCACAGATTAACTTTAGCAATATTGTCATGACTTAGCACAGAGCAGGCATACGTTACGTCATCCCTATATCTCACTGCACAAGCATGGTGGAGATGTTTTCAAACATAATTCATGGGAAACATTATCTAGGATCCTGGAACTATTATGTAAAAAGGAATAACAAAATCCTCTTTATTCACACTAAAATTCACCTTACTGACAAGCCCAAAGAGCTTAAATGATTCACCCAAAGTTACATGAGATAGTATGAGACAAAGCTTGGAGGAGGTAAGTGGTATAGATGATAGAGTGCAGTACTTGGAATCAGGAAGACTTGATTTCGAATACTGTCTCAGACAATCACTAGCTATGTGACCATAAGTTAAGTAACTTAATCTCTGTCTGCCTCAGTTTTCTCAACTATAAAATGAGGATAATAATAGGGTTGCTGTAAGGATCAAATAAGATAATTCTAGGTGGCACAGTGGATAGAGTGCAGGGCTTAGAGTAAGGAAGACTTCATCTTCCTGAGTTCAAATCTGGCCTCAGACACTTATTAGCTGTGTGACTCTAAGTCACTTAACTTTGTTTGCCTCAGTTTCCTCATTTGTTGAATGAGTTCGAGAAGTAAATGGCAAACCACGTCAGTATCTTTGCCAAGAAAACTCCAAAATAGGGTCATGAAGAGTGAGACATGACTGAATAACAACAACAACATTTATAAAGCATTTTGTATAATTCCTGGCACATAGTAAGTAGGAGCTTAATAAATGCTTCTTCCCTCTCCTTCCTTTACTCTCAACTGTAAAATGGGATTAATAATAGCATTCACCTCCCAGAGTTGTGAGAATCAAATGAGATAATAAATGCAAAGTGCTTGAGCAACCTTGATGTGCTATCTAATTCTAGCTATTATTTTTATTAAAAGTTTCAAACTCCAAATCCACCATTCTTTTTATCATACCCTTTTGGCTCTGATCCACTGGAATCTATAATACCATCAAGATACTAGCCATTAACCACATCTAATTTTAGCTTCTACTGAACAGAGGAAACATGATCTTTTTTCAGTCTAAGTTAAACATTTGCTGAGTCATGCATATTCCCTATAAAATGAAGACACTCTGAAATTACAGCATCACTTCAGTTCTACTAGAAAAGACTTCTTTTCTCCCATCTGGCCTTCTGAAAAAAAGCCAACTCCACCATCTCTGCAATAACTCTTGCAGTGACAGGACTTGTAAGAATGACAATGTCTGGCTGATAAAGCTCGATGTGGTTGCCTTTCTGGAAGTGTGATTACCAAGCAAGACTTCACAGGGTGGTTACTTGGAAAGCAGACTTGCAAGTATGTATCAAGTTGGATGTAAGCCAAGTAAAATTTTGTGCCAGCTCATTTCTGTTCCTGGGTTATGCTGAAAGAATCACCATTTTAATTGCCAGCCTGTCATCCCTACTGAACTGCAA